GTATTTGAAAACTTAAATGCTCATTTGTACCCAGTACTTGACTGGGTGCGACGCTCATTCAGAAGAGTATGTGACCGAATTTATCTTCGTCAAAGTCATGTCTCGCAAGAGTTGTCGTGCACTACTCGAAATCTATAGCGAATTTTCCGATGTGCGATTTGATTTCACTCGCATGATGCGGAAATTCCTCAAATAAACCGTTCTTTTGATGCTGTTCGATTAAGTTTAGGTTAAAAATAATTGGGGTAAGAATAAATTTAATACATGTAGATTCTGGTTCCATTTTAATACTATCACTGAACAGTCTGAACTTCTATACTTTTTGTGGCTAATCAGTGACACAATGGCTATCTTTAAAAGGGGGAACGGAGAATGCGGGAATCGGGAAATGGGGAAATCGGGGAATCATGGAATCGGGAAACAGGAGAATCGAGGAATGGGGGAATCGGGCAATGCAGGAACTCGAGAACTGGGGAATGGAGGAACTGCGGAGTGGAAGAACTTGGTAACTGGGGAATAGAGAGTAGGGGAATAGGGGAATGGAGGAACTGGGGAGCAGGGGAGATGGGAGCGATGGATAGAAACAGGGGAATGGATAAACAAGAGAATGGGGAACCAGGGATGGGGAATGGGGAGAAAGGGGAATTCCTCTATGGCTCTGTTCCCCAGTTTTCCTGCTGCCCAGCTCCCCCATTCCCCTGTTCTCCTACTCCCCAGTTCCTCCAAAGTAACACATAAAGTAACAAAAATGTAAATACTACAATTTCTATTACTCAAATGGATCTGATCACAATTATACATTTGTATAATGTATTATATAAAACATATTAGGAAGCAAAATGAAAATTATATACACAGAACAGCTAGTTTCTTGAGCAATTTTATTTCGATATAACATATGTTCTGTTGCCTTTTTCATTATACTGAAAATTTGCATGCCAACTAAATGAACACACTAGCTTATTGTTTCCACATGATTTTAAAAGTCACACAACAATTTCATTGTGCTATTTATAGTTTTAATTTCTACTGAAAGGGATTTATATAATTATTTTTCACTTGAGTAATATCTAAAGTTTCACAAAACACTTGCCAGGTTGGCATTATGCAAAATGATAACAATAATATTGAACAATTTTCATCTTTTAAATGTAGAACAGATAGATATAAAAACAGTCTCTTTCCTACCATGATTGGCACATTAAACAAGTAATATTTAACAAGTAACTTTTAACTGTAATAAAATTTTTGTAAAATAGTTAGATATCTATATATATTTTAACTTTCAATAATTGTAAAACACATTGTAATTCGTTTTTTATGCGATGGTGTGTTATTAAATCTCATCTTTAATAATTTTGAACCTAATTAAAGGGAAAACTGTTACCACATCATAGACGTGTATACAGTATTATCGCTTTTTGCATCTAGAATCCTAATACAAATATATTTATATTGTTATTATTTTGCATAATGCCAAGTCACAAACTAAAGATCATATTCTTCCTGTGTGGCCAAGTGTTTTGTGAAACTTTAGATATTACCCAAGTGAAAAATAATAATATACATCCCTTTCAGCAAATTTAAAACTATAAATAGCATATAATGGTATTGTTGTGTGGCTTTTAAAATTATGTGGAGATAATAAGATAGGGTGTTAATTTAGTTGGCATGCAAATTTTCAATTGAATAGTGATGTTTATCCAAAATATAATGAAAAATGCAATGCAGAATATATGTTATATGGGAATAACATTGCTCAAGAAACTGTTCTGTGTACATAATTTTCATTTTGCTTTCTAATATGTTTTATATAATACATTATACAAATGTATAATTGTGATCAGATCCATTTGAGTAATAGAAATTGTAGTATTTACAGTTTTGTTACTTTTGTGTGTTACTTTGGAGGAACTGGGGAGTAAAAGAACAGGGAAATGGGGGCGCTGGGTAGTAGGAGAATTTGGGGAACAGAGCAACAGAGGAATTCCCCTTCCTCCCAACTCCCCATCCTGTGTTCCCCCATTCTCTTGTTCCTCTCTTCCCCTGTTTCTAAGTTCCGCCGGTTGCCTGGTGCCTCTATTCTCCCGATCCCCATTTTTCCTGCTCCCATCTCCCCTGCTCCCCAGTTCCTCCATCCCCCTGCTCTCCATTTCCCTGTTACCCAGTTCTCAAGCTCCCAAGTTCCTCCATTACCTGTTTCCACCATTCCTCGATTCCCTGTTCTCCGCTTGCTTCCATGATTCCCCCATTCCCCGATACCCCTATTCCCTAATTCCCCCATTCCCCGTCCCCCCTTTTAAAGATAGCCGTCTAAATATCGAAAACAACATTTAGTTTCACAAAGCTTCTAAATCAATGAGTATAAACTGTAGTGTTTATGTTCAGAAGCTTTATATTCAAGACTAGGACGTGCGTCACGCCGGAGTTAACGCCAGAGCAGGCGTTTTGTTCACAATCATTCGATATAAAAGCTACGAAATTCACAATTTTCTTACTCGCTATTCTATAGGATTTCTTATTTCTTATTACAGAATAACATGCTCTTTTATCGCGGTTTGTAATATGAAAGTGGTGCAGGTCTAGAAATATATAAAATTCCGTCTTCAATTCAAAAATATTTGCAGGCGTTTCATCAATAAATTATTTAGCAATTCTGTATACAATGACGCAATAACCATACATACATACACATTGCCTTCATTATATTCTTTATACCATGCAGCCACGATACAGCGTCGTACATAAAAAAGTAATTTCGATAAATTTTAGTGATTGTCGGGTCCTACAAACCTAATCTGCGATCACGAGATCCAATACCTGGAGCCGGAATTTTCCAATTATTAAACGAAAGTAGCTCCCAGGCTTTTGAAAATATTGCGTACTATTACGGATTGTATGATCCGCAAACATTTGAAAATGCTCTTTAGAGTGGAACTTTTGAAAACGCAACTAATCCCGATACTTGTGGACGTAATCACAACGATTGGAAAACAATGAATTGAATGGCTGAAATTTGATATCTACTTCCACAAGACCGTCAAGACGCACTGCATGCGGTAGAATTCAAGCGATTATGGATTAAGATCATTATATGGAATAATTATGATTATGTGGAATAATTTCGTGTAATTATGATTTTATGGAATAATTTCGTGTAATTATGATTATGTGGGATAATTTCGTGCATTATTGCCTTTGATGAATTGAATATTGTCAAAACTTAAAAAAAGCGGGGTCAAAATCTTCATAAAAGAGCTTACTTGATTAGTAGCAGTTACTACAGTTTTTGACATTTTAGCCTTTAGAAATATCAACCGCGTTATTTTACAACATGCGTTCAGCAACTAAAAACTATCGGGCCTATAATTTCGTAAAATAGCTTTATGACAATTTTATTGAGAACCGCGTCATGTCAATTTGGGTTTAGAGTATTTTATAGTACACTAGAGTCAACAAATGACTGGTTGGTTAATATAGATAACGGCTTCTTAAATGCTTGTTAAATGTCAATAGAAAACGGCCTGTTAAATGATAATAATCTTTATCCACCTAAAAAATGCTTTCAATGACTACGAAATTGCTTTGCTAAAGCTAATAAATTATGGAGTTGATCCAGGTAGTCTGGATTGGTTTAAATCATATCTAAAGAATAGAAAACAAAGATGCAAAGTAAATGGCTCTATCTCGTTGACTTGTGGAGTTCCACATGGTAGTAATTTGGGACCACTGCTATTCCTGATCTATATTAACGACCGAAACAACGTACCAAATTGCTTGAACTATCTCAGCCCAGAATATTTGCCGACGATGGAAGTATAGATAGAAGTTATTCAGCTGATTCATTTGACAAAATGCAATTTGTTAAAGCCAACAAGCTAAGTTCTTATATATAGTGAAAACGGAATTCATGATAATAGAATCGCGGCAAAGAACTCAAATACTACGGCGAAAACGACATATCTATCTCCATTAACAATCGTGAAATGTTTATAAATTTTGGGTATGTATATTGATAGTCACCTCTCGTGGGCAGATCGAGCACACTGACAAAATATCCAAAAAGGTTTCTTCGGATACAACCTCATTTTGACTACTATTCCTCGGTTTGGGGTGAATTAGGCAACACACTTTAAAATTACGCAAAAAATTACAAAACTAAAAAACAGATCGGTTTGAATCTATGAATCTGTGCTCTCTTAAATCTTTTGCGATCTTTTCTCTGTGCTCAGATTCTGAGGGAACCCAGAGTCTGAGTACGGAGAGAAGACCCTGGGTACGAGGTTATAGGCTCAGTTGATGTAGAAAATATTAAAACGCCTCCAGATTTACAAGTCTTGTTTTCTCTTCGCAATACTGAGTTTGATTTAAATGAAATTTACCAAAACCACAAACGGATTATCAAAACGTAGCTTATGCTATTGTTATGGGGAAGCTTATTTAAAGAAATTTGTATTCTAACTCACCTTCATCAATTTAAAAAGCTACAAATGATTAGTACTTTAATAATTTATATAACGACTCTCTTACGGCAAGTCTTTAAAGCAGTTGTATTTTTTAGTGTATTGTCGTATCGCAGATACGTGTGGACGGCCGAAAACGCAACTAATCCCGATACGTGTGGACGCGTAAAATTTTGAATCCGGAACGAAATGTTTGCAGATACAAATTAATCTGGTGACGTGTAGATAGGGACTAAATCGCTTCAAAATTGTCGAGATATTAATTTGTTTGCGTTTTTAACAAAACACGTGTTTTTTAAAAGATCACTTTTGTAATCATACTTTTGTCGAAGTTTTCATTCAGCGATAGTAACCTAATAACTGTTAAATAGTTAATCTAAACCATAGTTTTAGTTATATATTCTTGAATGTTTGCACGGTGACAATCGATAAGTAATTTAGCATCATTGCACGGATGAAGGCCCGGGTTAACGGACCGAAAGCTTTACAATATTAAATACTTACATGGTGTACCTGCATAGTTATATATATATACAATAGATCACTATTGAGCCGCGCGCATTTGAACCAATGCACGCTATACAACTGGAGTGAAAACTGGTGATAAATGTCATAAATATGTTCGCAATCAGATGACTTTTCCTAATGACTTTTCCTAAGGTTCAGATTCTAAAAAATGATCAGCGGCGAAGAAAAGTGGGTGTGCTGGTTTGACGAACCAGTGTCGAACTTTTGGCGCACTAATTTACACTAATTTACACTTTAGGCTATGTGTGCACGAGCTGCGTTTTCGAGCGTTTTCAAAATCGTTTTCATCTAGTTAATCGCTTTGATGCCTTGTCCACACGATCCAAGGGGAAATATGCTTAATATGTTAAACTAGCTTCAACTTTTATTACGATTTGAACGAAAACGGTGTTTGAAACCGTTTTGACATAAAAATGAAAATGAAAACGCTCGAAAACGTTACCGTGTGAACATAGTCTTAGATATACACTACAGAGCCGCCTGGAGGCCATTGGAAACTCATAGTTATTAGGCTTTCAATACCATAGGCGCGCGGACCTAAAAAATAGGAGGGGAGCAGCTGCGTAACGAGCGACCTGGGGGGTCGCCACCCCCCCCCTCCATGATATAAAAATGTGGCCGATAACTCAATAAAATCATTGTTTCATCTCCTTCGACAAATTCATTTTGTAGTCCAAATTTTCCTAGTCTCCATTAATGAAAGAATCCCTCAGCGCTTCGTGAGCATAAGGTCTATCATCAATCTTATGACTAATCAGCCACGACACAAAATGCCGAGCTTCACGATCATCAAGTCTGTCAATACTTACACAGTTTCCTTCTAAAATATTTCTCATTCGATCAAACGAAGAACCGAAAGGGTGTTCACCTTTAGTTAAGACGAAGAAAGCAATCATACCCGCGACCTGAACATCTGATTTCCTTTTGAAAGGACCTTTTTCGTTTTTCTCTATTGCTTTGATTACTTCTGGTGGCATCCATCCAGGAGTACCTTTAGCGTATGTTTCAACTGTCGTTTCATCGTCATTTAGAATTCGGCTTATTCCAAAGTCTGCCAATTTCATGCGACCTTCAATATCAACCAGGACGTTCGATGGTTTTAGATCTCTGTGCAATATTCCTTTTCCATGAAGAAATTCAAGTCCGAATAGAACTTCCTTAATCATTCGTGGACCATGCTCTTGTAGATATTCAATACTGGATGCATGAACAAGTTCTCTCAAGTTTTCTTCGCAAAGATCCACAATAAGATACATGAAGTCATCGCCGCGGTGAAAATGTCGATAACTCACTATGAATGGAGAGTTGTCTGTTTTAATGAGACTCATTATCTCCTTTTCATTTTCAACTGTGTTATCGTCACTTTGTACTAGAATTCTTTTAACAGCAACTTCACTTCCATCTTTCATAAGACCAACATAGACACAAGAACCACAACAACCATCGCCAATTTTGAATTGATTCTTTGCAACAAAGTCCTGCATTGGAACTCCGATCTATCAGGGGGAAACACAATTTTTTTACTATGGTGAGAATTAAGTGTTGTAATAAATGCAAGCGAAAAGTAAAAAAGAATCATGTTATACGAAAGGCGCTGTTACACTATGCAATTTCAGTTCCTTGCAACTTGCAATGAACTTTAATTTTGAGTGATGTTAATTTGTAAAGAGAGCTCGAAATGCGAAGGAAACGTTAGCATATCGTAAGAAATGTTTGTATTTGACAACATTAGATGCCTCAGGAGTAGAATTGCATTGCAAGTTGCAAGAAAAATTGCATAGTGTAACACCACCTTAAGTATCTCAAATGAAAACAACATTTGCTATTTTAGCTCAAAGACGTAGCTAAACGTTATAAATTATAAACTAGACGTTATAAATTATAGACGCGTAGTTACCTCTGTTACTGCACAATGACATTAAAACAACCCCATATATGTTTGAAATATTTTCTAATTATTACCTTCTCTAACTGGTTGCAATTGAATGTTTTTAACATTTTAATTTTCTCACGATGTTTTATGGAGCTTTTGAGGATAACTGCAATTTCATCATGACCAATATAAATACACCAATCAATAAGACTCATTTGCCTTCCTTCAACAAGAAATGTCCCAATTCTCCACACAGCAATATCCTTTTCCAACAAAAAATTGACCAAGACAACTGAATTGTTCACAATAGCCATCTCCAGGATGTCAATATCAAGAGAATGAAAGTCCCTTTTACTTTCAAGAGTTACGTCAGAACCTTGCTCAACTAAATACTGGACAATTTCAAATGTACCTGTATCCACAGCAATGTGCAACACTGACCATCCATCAGCATCTTTACCATTAACATCAGCACCGTGCTCAACCAGATATCTCACAATTTCCATCGTACCTTTAGTCACAGCAGAGTGCAGCACTGTCTTCCCGTTAGACTTCTTTCCATTCACATTAGCGCCCTTTTCCACAAGATATTTTACTATTTCCAGCGTACCTTCAGTTACAGCGGAGTGCAGCACAGTCCAACCGTCAGCATCTTCGCCATTTACATCAGCGCCACTCTCAACAAGATGTTTTACAATTGGTAGAGTGCCTTTAATAACAGCAGCGTGCAGCACTGTCCGCCCGTTGGTCTTTTTACTGTTTACATTAGTGCCCATTTCGATAAAATATTTTACCACTTCTAGCCTTCCATAAGAAACAGCATAGTGCAGAACTGTCCACCCTTCGTTATCTTTGCTATTTACATTAGCGCCCATTTCAAGAAGCAATTTTACCATTTCTAGCGTACCTTTAGAAACAGCTGCGTGCAGTACAGTCCAACCGTCACTGTGCTTGTCATTCACTCCAGCGCCCATATCAATGAGATATTTCACCATTTCTAGCGTACCTTTAGAAACAGCCCCGTGCAGCACTGTCATCCCTTCAATGTCCTTGCCATTTACATTAGCGCCATTTTCACTAAGATATATTATCATTTCTAGTGTACTTTCAGTAACAGCAGAGTGCAGCACTGTCCACCCGTCAGTATCCTCGCCGTTTACCTTGGCGCCCTTTTCAACAAGATATTTTACCATTTCAAGCGCACCTTCTGTAACAGCAGAGTGCAGCACAGTCCACCCGTTTGTATTTTTGCCATTTACATCAGCGCCCTTTTCAACAAGATATTTTACCATTTCTAATGTACCTTTAGTAACAGCCGCGTACAGTACTGTCCAGCCGTCGATATCCTTTCCATTTACATCAGCGCCATTTTCAACAAGATATTTTACTATTTCTAGCGTGCCTTTAGTAACAGCACTGTGTAGCGCTGTCCAACCACTATCATTTGTTGCATTTATATCAGCTCCTTTTTCGACAAGATATTCCGCGATTCCTAGCGTACCTTTTGAAATAGCAGCGTGAAGCACTGTCCACCCGCCAGTATCCTTTCCATTCACATCAGCACCACATTTTTCAACTAAATATCTGACAATGTCTGTTACACCATCATCAACAGCATGATGTAAAGCAGTTTTGCCCGACTCATCTTTAATATTTATGTCAGCACCACAATCTTCAACAAAATATTTCACAATTTCTAAGGATCGAGACTGTATTGCACTTTTCAGAGCGACGCAATCTGCGTGGAAATTTTGATCTGGACCATATTGAACAAAATATTTAACAAGATCGACTAAACCATTTCTCGTTCCAATCCATAAAACTGTTCCACCATCTTTGTACTCGAAGTAAACGTCTGCTCCGTGGTCAATTAAATATCTGGATATTTCTTTATCAACTGGATTGACTACAAAAGTACGCCAAAATTGCAGTTTTCCTTCTTCAGCGACATTTATTCCTCCACTTGCCTCTTGATTTTTATCAATACCTAAATGAAAATTAACATACTTTTTGCTGAGTGAAATGTAACAAATTGAGAGCTCTTTCTAAATTTTTTCATATTCTAATGATCAATATACAGCCAAAGTGTAGGTTTAAGTTTATAAATTTAAAAGTTAGTTGTGGTAATTAAAATTTTTAATTAAGAATTATAAGTTAAAAAGTTAGTTGTGGTATGCATATTTTTGCTGCGTTGTCGACCACTTGTGGGATAGATGTATTCTTTGACATTTTTTGGTAACTAACGTTCAGTAACTGAGACTTAAAGTTTGGCCACTATCGATATGGTACTACGGACGTGAAACAATTAGGACTGGGGCGAGACACCTAAGTGAACAACAGGTGCAGACTAATTCTTTGTATTCAAAAAGCCCTGGGCGGTTTCGGAGGGCAGGCAGAGGTACTGTATGATTCATTATATCCACAACAATTGTTTCCGGTTTTTGTCATTGGATGCTACTCAACAAATATTGCATTATGAGGATGCTCAATATGACATTTTGTCTTTTAGTGTTACATGGACAAGTGAGAGGTTAGTAAATTTCAATTGATAATGGTCATGCACCTCAAGAAAGGCCTGGTATGCTGATTGAATATGCACAAAAATGATATGTTCTCTGAAATTTTGGATATACTGCCTAAATTGTTTAACATTTTATGATTATAAATGTATAGTAGAGCAATAGACCTTTCTTATAATGACGTCAAACGCGGAAAGACGAAACTATCGAGCCAATCAAACTTCGTGTAACATCATTCTTTCCGCGTTTGACGTCATTATGAAAAAGGTCTATTGCATCTTGATATATATTGAAATGAACTAACTTATATTTTCAATTCTCAAGCCTTGCGAGTTAATGCAAACCTTGACGGTATATATCAGCTACTTTGTTCAATATTATTTATTTTATGTATTAAGTGATGATGATGCATGCTAAAGTTTTTCGTCATCAATTTAAAACTCTAAAATTAAAAAGGTTATCTTAAATTTATGCAATATGTCAACCAAGTTTGTTTTATTTGTTTTTTTTAGACAATGACCCATGCCCTGGGCGTTTTCGGGGAGGAGGCAGAGGTACTGTATGATTCATTATATCCAAAACAATTATTTCCGGTTTTTGCCATTGGATGCTACTCAACAAATATTGCATTGTCAGGATGCTCAATATGACATTTTTAGCTCGCCTGCACTTTAGTGCAAGAGAGCTATTGCTATAGTCTTGGCGTCCGCGTCCCCGTCCCCGTCCCCGTCTCCGTCTCCGTCCGCGTCCACACTACATTGATAAGTAAAATGTTAAGATGCCACTTTTATTTTCCCATTATTTTCAACTTATCTACTTAAGGAGTCTATTTGTTGCAAAAGAACCATTTACCAGGGGGAGTGAACATTATACAACAAAATATAATGGTAAGGTCAATGTTAAAATGCTATATTTTTTCTATACTTTGGCTTTACATCAGAGGAATCATTATAAGTCATCAATATGCATTGTGACTATTTATTGCCATTTGGTACACATTTATACAATAATAAAGAGAGTTTTGCTCAAAATTATCAAATGATAAGGTGAATGTTAAGCTAATTAGCATAATAATAAGGTCAATGTTAAGATGCTATATTTTTTAAATATTATGGCTTTACATCAGAGGAATCATCATAAATATAAGTCATCGATATGCATTGTGACTATTCAGTGCCATTTGGTACACATTTATACAATAATAAAGAGAGCTTTGCTCAAAATTATCAAATGATAAGGCAAATGTTAAGCTTATTAGCATCATGATAAGGTCAATGTTAGAGTTATCCAGAGTTATCACGCTCATTACGATTTTCAGGGCTATTGTGTAGCCCTGTTTTTTTTAGTTCAAAGTTGTAGCTGAATCATATTTAACGAAAGTATTTGTACAACCCTAAGCCAAATGAGAAACTTTCAAATATTTTCACCTGTATGCTACCATTTGTTTGTATTGTACATGTACAATTATAAATTATGAGATTGTGTTGTGACATGCCGTATCAAAATTCAATCGCTTAATAATGGTAATAAAACGAATAGGAGTGCAATTAATGCCAAAATCATACGAGTGATTACAAAATCAACCGACCGCGCAGCGGGAGGTTGATTTGTTAAGCACGAGTATGATTTGGCATTAATTGCACGACTTAATTCGTTCTATTACTTATTAATTATCCATCTTCGGTAATCAAAAATTCTTGTCATTTTCTTCAGCAAATATATTATTTAAAAGGTCAAAATTTTCAAAATCATTGTCAAATTCCTCCATTTTTAAAAATTTCGCGCCCCAAAAGAAAACAAATTCTTATTTTGTATCCTGAATGCTGATTGGCTACTTGTAAAGCTATGCTGAATTTCATTGGCTGTGAACAAGAGTGCGATTACAGCTCACCAAGAGTGCGATTAATGATTAATCGCACTCCTGTAAACCAATCAAATTGAAGTATTTGACAGTGATTACAGAAGATGGATAATTAATATAGAAATCATTCAGGGAGTGAATATATATAAAACATAGTCCAACGTTAAAGTTTAAAGAATATTGTCAGATAATTCGCAATTACAAGCTTTAGCACATAAGTATTTATAAGTAGAAAGCCGATAGGCTCAGAATGCAAAGGCAAATGGCAACGCATGTGACATATATTTGCACATTATTTATGTAGATACACATGCAAATATATTATTAAAGCCAGTTAAATTGTAGACAGGGCCCTTTGAACTACCTATAAGATTTATGAATCCTTTTTTGTGTAGATATAAAAATCCAATCTTGTTTATTTCATAAAGCTAGGCGCACACACGACGATTTTAGTCGGCCGATTCCTGTCTAGATTGTCTAGATGGATGTTTTCATCAAAATGTGGCGACTGGCGATCTATACTTGGTCATAATGTTATAAAGTTTTTTTTTCTTCTTACGCGAGGTAGGAGATCTTTACAAGGGTTTACTAAAGTTTGCTAATCTTCTCTTCTTTTTCTATCTTCGATCTTGATCGTCGTTAAATGTTCTTGTCTTCTTCGTCAGTTCTGTCGTTGAGTTTTCTAGCGTTTCATAACTTAATCTTTACTCCGCTAGTCCACTGAAGGTTCAGGTGCTGTGCACGCCCTTTTATAATGAGGGTTCAGTGACTCTTGCATACGTCATCAACCATAGTGGGCTGATCCTTATCCAGCCAATCAGCGTTGTACATGTAATCAGTGGGTTGGTCTTAGAAGCTCGTTCCAGCTCTCATATCTTGTTTATTTAAGGCGTTGTCGCACTAGTCGAGTTGGTCTTCTGCTCAATCGATCAATACTTAAAAATGTTCACAACTTAAATATTTCATCATCAACAACTAGTAAAATATACCAACAATACGTCTGTGAACAATATCTTTCAACTTAAACTATTTTTACTCTTATTTTTATCGAATTGAACTTTTGATGACGTAATCTATTACATACTTGACCGCGCAACATTTTTAACACAATTGATTGACATAAGAACTTGAATGGCCTACAGCACGCTCGTTTTTAATAATATGTAGCAGTTGAGCTTAGCAACGACTTAGGACTGTTGATCCAGGCATTTACTTCTGTCAAGGTGATAAATGTTTTCACCTAATTACTTATTTAATCCCACGATATGTCATACCTGAAAGGGAATGTGATTAATGATTGCGAATGGCCGAAAATTATATTTACTTAGGCATCTTGTGGCAAAAATCATTCACTAATCCCTGTCATGCTCTTGATATTCCTATTTTTGCAGCTATTTTTATATGCATATCTCTAAACACAATAAAGCTTTGCGTAACAATCCTCCTCACCTAGAATAAGCTGTCCCCAGCTTCGAGTGAGCTATGATGAACTTAAGTGGACTAAATATAATAGTATCATAGATATGTGTGTATATAATATGTTTACAAATTCCCAACTATTCTAATTTTTTTTTTGAGCTCGGCGTGGCTATCACGGGCATATTACCAAATGCCTAATAACTGAGACTATACACATAATACGTGTTGTTATTCTACGACAACACTACATAATTGATTATACGAGATACAACTGATCTGAATATAATTGACTTATGCCTACATGCACCTCAGGGGTAATCTAACTATAATAATGTCATATAATTATATTAAACACGTCAGAATATATAGCAATATTAAACCAAAATTAGTGTGAAAACAAGGGGTAAAAATTTCCTGTTTTCCTGAATGTATGTACCAGGGACTTAAGCGAAATTATAAATTTTGTAGATGCAGTCAGAAAGTGTACCAAAAATTATTCAAATTTCATAAATTATCTTATCATTGCAACGGCGAAAATTGTATTCAGATTCTTGGTTGATCAACTCACATAACAGGAAATTATTATAAAGCTCTTCCGACAAAACATCTCTCCATAATAATAACCTAAACCTATATATACGTCTTAATAATTCTTCAAAATATTTCAACTTATGCAAACAAATTTTATACGTATACTTTTTAATATAACTGAAACTCATTTTACTTTTTTTTTAAACGTCATGCACGGCAAACCAAACTCCAAAATGTAGGTTTTCATCGACAATATAAATACCGAGTCTACATAGAGAAAACAAGAATGTGCCTAATATTTAAGCTTTTGGCTTGAAAAAGAATTGTAATCCATTACAACAAGTTTGGGAGACCCTTGACTGTCCCGGGGGAAGAGGAAAATATATTATCAACGAATGACGCATAACTAAAAGCGTCAGAATTAAATTTATACACTGACCCAATTAAAACATGCATGCGCTATCCTACGGCAACATGTTTAATCAGCATGCTGAGTGTACCTAAGGAATTTCAGTTGAACAGCTATACTGTCGTGTTTAATATTAGCGAATATAAACAAACAAATGACAAACATATATGTGTAACATGAGAATGACAAAAACTTATATTATACAAATCTTAAAATGCGTCCAGTTTCATGTCCATAATACAAGCGTTCTGACCATCAGGAAGGATCCGGAAAACTCTGAGACTTTCGTACGTCTCAATAATCATATTTCAACGACCACGGAGGCTTCCACTGATGCGTCTTTAGCTGGATTTCTGGCATAGCCAACACGTTCAGATAGAGGGAGTACATGTCATCAAACTCGTCTTGGATTGCAGACTGAGGGCAAAACGACTGTAGTTTCAATTCAAGTTCATGGAAAGTGTAGAGGTTGTGGACAGTTGTCTTGAACATATAACCAAAAAATGAAACAAAGTCTAGCATTGCCATAAGGAGAAGTATGGATGAATACAGAACGTGCGTTTCCTTCGAACCAGTCATCAGGTCGTTTCAGCATGCACCCGTTTCTAAGCAATGTTTGTAATATTGATTGTTCTGACTTCTTCTGAGTATATAGTAGACTGATTGAGTTTCTGAAACGTTTTGTAAGGCCGATCCTGCACCAAATGTTATAAAATTTTTTCTTCTTTTTCTCTTTTCTTCAAATCTTCGTCCTTTTTTTGCGTTCTTGTGTTCGGTCGTTGGTTCTGTAAAGGTTGAGTTTTCTAACGTTTCATAAGTTAATCTTTACTCCGCTAGTCCACTGAAGGTTCAGGTGCTGTGCACGCCCTTTTATAATGAGGGTTCAGTGACTCTTGCATACGTCATCAACCATAGTGGGCTGATCCTTATCCAGCCAATCAGCGTTGTACATGTAATCAGTGGGTTGGTCTTAGAAGCTCGTTCCAGCTCTCATATCTTGTTTATTTAAGGCGTTGTCGCACTAGTCGAGTTGGTCTTCTGCTCAATCGATCAATACTTAAAAATGTTCACAACTTAAAATATTCATCATCAACAACTAGTAAAATATACCAACAATACGTCTGTGAACAATATCTTTCAACTTAAACTATTTTTACTCTTATTTTTATCGAATTGAACTTTTGATGACGTAATCTATTACATACTTGACCGCGCAACATTTTTAACACAATTGATTGACATAAGAACTTGAATGGCCTACAGCACGCTCGTTTTTAATAATATGTAGCAGTTGAGCTTAGCAACGACTTAGGACTGTTGATCCAGGCATTTACTTCTGTCAAGGTGATAAATGTTTTCACCTAATTACTTATTTAATCCCACGATATGTCATACATGAAAGGGAATGTGATTAATGATTGCGAATGGCCGAAAATTATATTTACTTAGGCATCTTGTGGCAAAAATCATTCACTAATCCCTGTCATGCTCTTGATATTCCTATTTTTGCAGCTATTTTTATATGCATATCTCTAAACACAATAAAGCTTTGCGTAACAATAATATTAGACCAAGTAGACTCGCGTTCACGCGCAAGGCGCGAGCGCCGCGAGAAGGAAAACATGTCTGGGCAAGGGCTGCCTATATGTCTAAACCTGAATGGACCAACTACCGTAAAATCGTTGTGTGTGCGCCCGGCTTAAAGCAGGGACTTTTGCCTGGTCCGTTAACTTACCTGTTGATATCACGTGCGCGGATTGCGTGAAACGGAAGAAATATTGGTCACAAATAAAACTAATGTAATTCCGAGGCCAGTTTTGGCCAGTAATTCTGAGGTCACAACTAATATCTGAAGTTTGTGCTTAATATTACCTTCCAACGTGGATTTTAGCCTTGTAATTTGTAATAAAAAGATCGGTAATTTGTGCTTCATACAGATACCTTTCATACAGAGTTTAGCCTTATTCTAGACAAACAGTGCAGGCGAGCGTTAGGTGATTTCAGCACCTCTCTGGTGTCTTTTTAGGGTTACATGGACAAATGAGAGGTTAGTAAAGTTTAATTGATAATGGTCATGCAGTTAACTCAAGATTTTTGGTAGCCTGCAGACCAATTATTTCTTGATATCATTTCTTGATATTAGGGCGGTGTTACAAATGTGGCCTGCGTGGCCACAGGGCAGCAACATGCCAAGCACGTATGTGTACAGTACCTTATGATTTGTCACGTAATGTATAGTCAGTTGTTAGGTCACTGGTTCACAAACAATATAATCATGGCTTCAGGGCTATTCTTAAATAGTAGATGGTAGTATAGACGCTGCCCATCGCAATATATGAAAATAATGTTTTAGGCTATTTCTTTCTCCAGCTGGTGACCCGACTGATCATCCTGCAGTTCTATCACCAATTCACAGTTAACTCAAAGCTATGTAATAACATTTTTTATTTATAGGGGCTGTTTGTTGGTTATGTGGCCGAAGAGGCCATACGAAAGTCGTGTGTCCCCAGCGACAGGGGGCACAAAAAACTCCACAGGGGGCAAAACCCACAATGCAGTTTACAAACTGCACGTTTGAGAAGTTTAATGCTATCCGGGACTAATTAGTTAAAATTATCCGGGATTAATTTGAAAAGATAATAATTTAGTATTTAATTGCGAGCAATGGACAAGATACGATTCAGCAGTAGTCTGTGGTCAAATGTCACTCCCTATCTCTATTTCGCGGGACCATTTCCGAATTCGATCAAGGGTCTCCACAACAGGAAAAATGCGGTCAACAATAGCCCGTTGTCTGTAGCCGTGCAAAGAGCGACTCTTTAAAAGACTTTTTAAGAAGACGAAAGGTAAATATAGTACACGCTTTTTCGAATGCATGTCATCTTACTTTAACGTATCTCACGAACTAGGACACACGTAAACTGAAATACAACGACATACGACGAAATAATTATGACAAGCTAGGACATATGAAATAATGAAAACCGAATCACAACGGAGCACGACGAAATACGGTGGACATATGAAAACCGAATCACAACGGAATACGACGAACTAGGACATATATAAAAACCGACTCGCAACAGAGTACGACAAAATATGACAAACTAGAACATACGAAAACCGAATTACAACGGTGTGCTACGAACTATAACTATAAGACATATGAAAACCGAAACACGACAGAGTACGACGAGCTAGGACACATGAAAACTACGTGAGGCGATCCTTGAAGTAAACTAAACATCATCTTGCATAAGTAGACATTCAGGAGCTTACAATGCTGACTGCAAACATTGTTTGTCAAGTTTAAGTTCTCGATGATTATTGTTAATAAGAACGTCGTCTATTTACACTACACTTGTTTTGAGAAGCGCTTTATAACTCTTACCGTTATCACATTCTTCGTTTTGAGTGTTTCGTCCTTGGAGTTCTTCTTTAGCTACTTTCTGTTCATTGTTAACATCGTTGGATTCTTTATTTTCCAACGTAGAGATATGATCTGGTTTTCCCGAAGACTCTAAACAACGGGTTTTTGTTATGGCGCCGTCCTGCTGAGGCATCACATCATTATCATTATCATCTTGCTTGGATTCGTTCATTCTCTTCATATCTAGCGAATCCGCCATCTTCGAGTAAAAGGGCTAGGACGTAAACAATTCGGATTTTCTATTAAAATGGCGCACCTGTGCAACCTGAAAATCAAAATTTGTTTTTAGGTTTCATTACCACAAATTCAGGACATTATTTACCATGTCAAGATTTCGCAATCAAAGATGCCTGCCCTGTTATTATAGAATTATATAACGGGCACGATACAAAATTTGAAATTAAAGCAACTTAATGGCTGTTGCGGAGTTCTATTTAAGACGGAAACTCAGTATTTTATGACAATTTTTTCATATTTTTATCTCACCTTTACAGGTTCCCAAGTGATGTCACCTCAGCAACTTGGCAACCATTATATTTCAAGGAGATAACGCGTTGCTGAAATGACATTACTGGGACCTGTTAAAGGTAAGTTAAAAAATATGAAAAAATTGTTATAACAGTACTCAGTTTCTGCCCGTCCCAAATCGAAGTCCGCAACTGCAATATGTAAGACAGAAGTTGCTTTAATTTATTTCAAATTTTGTCTCGTGCGTAATATATTTCTACTAGAAATACATGCATGCCGCAACCCCTCGCCTCGGTTAAACAAAATTAGTTAAGCATAGGGACGGTAATATCACAGCTAGAAAATTTATGTGTGTTGGGGGGTTGGAGGGGCACGTGAGAAAAAAGTATGGAAATATTTTCCTGGAAGTGGAAGCACTGTGATCAATGATCATAGCAACTCCAAAGCTGTGCCGCAAGGCCGTATATTTTCCAAGTATCTAAGTTTACCCTCATATTTTTGTGAAAAAAATGGCAAAAATACGACAAGATTCTTGCCTTTTTCTGGAAGTTAAGTTACTCATCTATAGTCAGTGTTATGGTTATTTTAATTATGAAGTTTTATGTTTATAGGCCTCGACCGGTTTTTGCACGCGAATATTTGATTTGATTTTCTTTTTGTCATCATGAAAACGGAGTTTATAAATGAAATAATAATAAAAAAGGAAACGTTTTTTGACCCTGATTCGTTGATTTCAGTGCAGTTAATCCCAAAACAGTAGTGCAAATGCAAAGTGTAACAACCAGTGAACTCTTTATATATGGAAGGCTCGCTCTAGTACATTGCGTAATCTAAAAGTGAAGCCAAACATGGCGGATCATGAAGGCTGCTTGGGTACCGAACCAGACCTCCAAGCACGAGGGGTTAAAATTCAATATGGCGGCAACGTGTAGGAGTTGAACTCAGTCAGTTTTGTAAACACAACACAAATATACGGCATAAGTTACCTCTTTTGAAAGAATAATATTGGCAGGTAAGGTTGTAACAAATTGTATGTATTCATTTTTAAAAACTTCGTATTTTTAAAACTTTGTAACGTCCGAAATGTTGGCTTTTTTATTTTTCGTCATGGTTTTATAATTCGTGTTTTTTAATTTCCACGCGCGGTTCGCGCATTTTACGCTTCGTGGAGGACTGGTTCGGTACCCAAGCAGCCTTCATGATCCGCCATGTTTGGCTTCACACTTTGAACTGGAACGAGCCTTGCATATATATAGAGTTCACTGGTAACAACTCAGTCAACAGTGCAAATTTCTGTGACAACAGTGCAAAATCCTGTTACAAATATATCTGATTTGTTGAAAAAAATCAAATTGGCCAATCAATTACTGCCTCACGTTTAATAATAGCAATGGACAGACGAACTTTTAAAATTTAAATTTTGAATGTTTTCCATTAAATGCATAAATTGTTTAAACTAATTTAATTTGAAATAAAATGTTCAAGGACATATAATGGATGAGGTCATTAATTTATCGTCTCGAAGATTTCCTTGCATATCATTAATACGTAATAGTATAATTTCTCGTGCAATTACAGATAAACTGAGTTTTTAAAGGCTGCAATCATGCTTGTTAATCCGTAATTGCACTCGAAATCGTACTATTACCTATGCTTATAATGTCGTCTATCACATAACACATTCAGATTGATATTGAAACACGTTTGATAATATTAAAGTTGTGTTTACCAATCACTTTTAAAGCTGTGCTGGGTGAAATATTATCAAGTGCATGTAAAATCTTTCGACTTCATTATACACGGTGAATTCGGTCGAAAATTTAGTCTTGTTATTTGTTAAACCATAAAAAGTCCTGACCACATTCGAATTTCCCTCTAATGTAATTAAAATATATATATTTCATATTTATGAAAATATAAACTTACAAATTTAACAAATTTGCGAAATTACAGATATTGCTCATCTGTGGTTATGCATTGACCTTTGCAAATACAACTTTCTAGAGTACTCACTTCAGTCTTGACCATTAGTAGTTCACACTGGCGCATGTGCATAACGTAGAAGACCGTCCATGGCGTGAGGTCCACAGCATAATGGCGGACGACTTTGATTTAGCATTTGCACATCGTGGGTGTAAATATCCAAGGGGAATTAGTACCCTCGCACGGTTGCTCTGCACCGGCTCGTGGATTATAACAAGGCAGCCATCTTTGATTATGGTAATTAATTATAATCAGGTCAATTTCTGATTGTGTGTAACCTCTGATATTAAAACAGCGCGGAAAACTTCTGCGCATGCGCCATGGCAGAAAATACATATATTCCAAATGCATATAAGCCAATGCAAAAATATACAAGACGAATAGACGACACAATTATTAACAGCGTACTACCATTTATCCTAATGAGCCATTTATCCTTTTTATCGTGTGAATTTTTTCGTTTTTAACGGGGTGGCTTGAGAATAATTTTTTGAAAACAAAAGTACCTAAAAGTCAGGAGTAAAGCTTGAACCTCTGTCGAAACTCGGTCTCACAGACTCTGACAGACATTTCTTAAGATTTTTTCGATTTTATTATTGTGTCATCCTTCTCAGCTGTTCATAACATTCGGAAGCGAACGGCAACCGCGATCGTATTTTTTCCTTGCGGTCGTCTGCGGTCTCTATCTGTAAACCGCAACCGAACCGCAACCGCAGTGTTAGGTTATTTCTGGAAAAATGTAAAAATGTAAAATATCCTAAGTTTTCATTATTGAGGAAACCAAAACTTCCCGTATCCAGCGACATAAAAAGTGTCTTAAATAAAAGTTTAAGAACTTCCATTGCTTATTTGATAAACAAAATGTTTTAGACGATTGATTTGTGAAAAGGTCACCTTTAGCTCAAGTTCTTATAGGAAGCAACTTCTTCAACGTTCTGGCCGTTTTTATTCTTGGTTTCTAGAATGGGATGTTTATTTTTGCGCTCGAAAGACGGCTTGTAAAACACAGAGTCTTTCACTCTTTTTACCGCCATTTTGAGCCTTCGGAAACGTTTTGAACCAACACCGCGGAGAAACGTCTGCGCATGCATCAACTTGCCTGTAATTAGCATTTAAAAGCGGTTCATCGTGTGTCTTCACAGCCATATTTTAAGCGCATAAATAAACTTTTCATTCTGGAGACTAAGAATAAAAACACAGAGAAAGTTAAAGAAGTTGCATTCCTAAAAAGTGTAGAGCTAAAGGCGGTTGTTAACAAATTTATCTCGAAAAACGTTTTGTTTATGAAATAAGCAATGAAGGTATCTGAACTTTTATAAGACACGTTTTAAAATAGGTCTAACTACGAGAGGTTGTCGCATTCTCAATAAATAAAATTTAGATTGTATTTTAAAATTTAAATGGAGTAAATCAAAAAAGAAGTAAACTAAAAGTAAAGTAAAGTAAAGTAAAGTAAACTAAATTTTCATTGCAAATACGCCTTAAAAAAGAAGTTTAATTCAGTTTCAATTATAATTCCATTCCCCGATTCCCGTTTTCCCAATTTCCCGATTCCCAAATTCCACGATTCCCCAATGTAGCTAACTTCGGTCTTATTTATACTCGTTCGCTACACGTTCTTTCATAAAAGCTTTCTCCCGTGACGGCATTTGTTAGCAAGTTCATTTCTACTGTTTAATGTACACATATGGGGTTTGCAAATGATAAAAAATTTCTCAGTGATGCATAAATTACATCGCTTGCTTACATTTGTATGCGGTTGTTTTTGTCCCCAAACGATGCTAAGTGGTTGGTGTATCTGGTTTTATGGACATAGCTGATAGAGTCGAAGTACTCACTAGTAGGAACGCATTCATTATCCTTAAAGACCATAAGGATAATTTCCTAAACAACCCATCTTGTCGTTTGATAAATCCCACAAAGTCAGAGCTGGGAAAAGTTAGTAAACACATATTGGTGAGTCTTTATGACACCAAACAAGTACATGCTATTGTTGCGGTGATTATACGACGGCCAGGATCATGTTATCTGCTCATTTCAATACTTCAAAATCATCTCACGCTTCGTTGAAACTCGGGTAACCGCGGGCTCATGTAAACAGCCCCTAATAACTGTGGTGAAGCCAAACAACATACCACCTTATGACCTTCACGAAAGCAACCACCCACCTGCAATCCTAAAGAATATCCCGATAGCAATCAACCAACGCCTTAATGAGACGTCGTCATGCCAACAGTCTTTCGACGCAGTTGCACCCACTTACCAACAGGCGTTGCAAAAAACGGATATACTTATACCCTCAAGTATGATAAACATGTAGGAGAAGGAATGCCAAGAACGAAGAATGGAGCTCGTAATGTAACGTGGTTAACCCACCTTTTAGCAAGCATGTAGCAACTAATGTGGGACAAAGGTTTTTATCGATTGTCAGAGTTTTTATCGATTGTCAGAGGAACATTCACAAATGGTCATCCACCCAAGCAAATTTTTAATAAGAATACTTTAAAACTAAGCTACTCATGCAAGCCCAATTTACAAGCTAAGATCAGTAACCATAACAAGGCGTTATTACGGAAGACCGATGGGAAAAAGGAAGAAAACCAATCATGTAATTGCAGGGATAGGTCATCGTGTCCCCTGGACGGAGAATGTTTAACAACAAATGCACTTTACCAAGCAACAGTGGAGACGGACACAAGAAAAGAAACATACATTGGATTGACGCAGAACAAGTTTAAAACCAGATACACCAACCGCTTAGCATCGTTTAGGGACAAAAACAAAATGAACGCGACGCAACTGAGCAACATATTT